CTAAAAGTGTTTATTTAAGTCAAAAGGCAGAATCCAGCAGGAGTCCAAAGACAGGTCAGGGAAACAGATCAGAACAGGAACAGACAGGCTCAGTGGTCCAAAGGCAGAACAGGTCAGGATCAGGCAATCAGAACTCAATTAGGTATGCTAGAGAACTCTCACTAAAGGCTCAAGAATAATCTTGAATGACTGGAAGCTGGCAGGTTAAACCAGATCAGATGGGAACAGGCGAACTCAGTGGTTGAGAGGCAGAACAGGTAATCAGAAACACTAAGGTAACGCTGGCACCTGAGATCCTGAGCATCTCTAAAGTTATGCTTCTATAGGCTTAGACTGCTGGAGGTCATAGGGACCCCTTTTTCACCGTTCTCTCTCTACTCTTCCACTCTGCAGAATTTTTTTGTTCAATCTCTAACGTTGAACTGCTTTTTCCATAGGGACTTCAGCTGGTCTGTTCCTATTTGGCTGTGACTCCATCCTGGAGAGAAATATCAGCTGTGCTGCTGCCAACAACACCTTTGTTTATAGATGTTCGAGATCAGCCTTTTTTTAGTGTGGTCCAGTTTCTTTGACTGTGAATAATTGTATAAGCTGTCTTTCATCCTCTGACATGGGAACTGGCACAGAGCTAATCTGCCTGGCTGTTTGTTTCCTGGACGGGGCCGCCTGTGGAGCTGGTTTACAGTTGCCTTTTGTATCTCTGCTACTTTCTCTATCTCTGCTTCTGTCTCCTTGAACCCCAGTGGGCCTCAGCAGATAGCCGCTCATACCGAACCTGGTTCTGCTAGAGGTTTCTTTCTGCTAAGGGAGTTTTTCCTCTCCACTGTCGCTACAAGCATGCTTAGTGTGAGGGATTGCCCCAACTGGTTTTTCTTAGATAGAAATATCTGAATCAGACTGTAAGATCTGGATGAATTGTAAAGAGCCTTGCGATAACGTGTTGTGAATTGGCACTATATAAATAAACTGAATTGAATTACTCTCTGGTAGCTTTTACTATCAGTAAGTTTTAAGTCCCCACTCCCCCTCGCTCCCCTATTAGTTGTGTCTTCATCCGGCCTAATGACCAGTGGCAGAGAAACTGGTAAATGTGTCATTTTATATTTATAGTCTTGGGGGTAAAGTCATGAATTACTACTGTACTTAGAAGTTAATAGAAGCTCTAATAAATTTAAAGAAGTAAAGTAGAATTTACAAAATAAGCTATTGCATTTATATTAAAATGATAGTTATGGTAATAGTTTGTGGTAAATAAATTCATCTTAAATTGGGACTTACTGTGTGTCAAGTGGGCTGGAGGTTTGGCAGGACACAAATGCAGACACTGAAGCTGAAGTAGCTTCTTGTAGATTTAATAACAAAACGGGTAACAGAAGCAAAATCCAAAAACATAAATCCACAAAAATCCCAAACTACCGAAAACCAGGTATACTCTCAACAAGGGGGCAAATAAATGACAACAAACCAGCAACAATGACTGAGCAGGAGGTGCATTTATGGGAGAGAGAAAAAAAACAGGCTAATCAGCTGATTGGGAGCAGGTGTGAACAGAGAATTCTAGAAAGTAGCTAGGGAAAAGGAGACCAACACAGGAAGGAAACAGAGGGCAAATAAAACAATACCTTAGCAATCAAATACATCCAGAAAACACCACAAAATAGGAATTAAATCAATAAAACTATAAAACAAAGAATACATGGATCAAAATGAAACTCAAAAAGAAAGCTTAAATAGAATTAAAATCCTGACACTGTATTTCTCAGCTGATTAAATATATATAAATTAAAAGTTAGATCTTTCTAAACTACCCCTGAAATGAATGTTAGCAATAAGAAAGGGGCCTAATGTAAAGCTTTTGTGGTCACACCTGGACTTATTGCAATCTCAAAAGCCATGTTTGTCTTAGTAGTAATTTTACAATGACACAGTACTGCTCTATACAAAAGATTTTATATATATATATATATATATATATATTTCCATTGATATCAAAATTAACACTCTCATCCCAAAGGGACAAAATAATCAACAGGTGTTGTTTCCAGAACGGACTTCAGAAATGTTACCTTCAATTTCAACGCACAGAAATCACTGCTGCATGCTACAATAGCAACAACAGCAAGATTTGAACAGCTTTAATTAAAAACATTAAAAAAGGAAGATAACATACCCTTCTATGTTTTAAATACAATCAAAATCTGGAGATGATGAATATCTGCATATCCAGCCTCAGCTGAAAGACAGCCATGCCCTGTTGCATAGAGAACAAAAACCAGCAGTGGATGAATTTGAGTATTAAATATGACAAGAACTTCATGATAAAGCTCCACATAAAAGAAGTTTAACAGACAATAAATGGAGATTAAATGCCTATAGTAGGTATTGCTTATAAGGAAAAACTACACTTTTTTATGCAAAAATAAAACACGTCAAAAGCTATTTTCTTAGTTTTTAAATATTATGCTGTAGTTACAAACCAAGTAACATATTATCAGCATTTTTATTTTTTATACCTATTCTGCAAAGGACTTCAGGAATACATAAAAAGAGCTTAATGTTAAACTTCAAATACGCTTAGAAGCACTATTAAACTTTCTGGTTTGGTAATAAAAGGCTCATCCTTCACATAAATCTGCTTCTGTGGAGCTTTTTGACTCACTTATCTATTCCAAAGTGGTGGTGCACAATTACCACCTGAAAAATGCCACATAAGGCGTCACTTCCCTCTATTTCTTATCAAATCCAGTGCAGCTGTGCTGACACATAAAGGGCAAAAATCATAAAGAAAGTGTCCCTTTCACATGGGCTGTATTGGCCAGATGAAGTTCTGGGTAAATCTCTTACCTACCGTATGTGTTGAACAGTAGAAAGGCAATGGGAAATACGAACAACACCAATGCTACCTTTTTTTTTTTTGTTTATTCTGTCAGCTTTAAAGGTTTTCTATTGAAATTATTTTAATTTTTTTGTTTTTATTATAGAGCTTATAACAGTGCTTTGAAAACATGCTGCTAAGTGTTGAAATTTTAAATTATCTAACATCCACCAACTACATTAAGATTTTACTTTAGGTGGCTGATTAACACAGAAATGGGCTCAATCAGTGAAAGAAAAAAGATGTAGAGCTTTTAGTTATTTTGTTTAGAGATAAAGATCTGAAACATATTGCATAAACATGCATTTTAAACTGTAAACCCTGAATAAATCTAGTATAACCAGTTGCATTTAAAATTAACCTCCAAATATGATAATTAATTATACTCCAAAAGCTATCAATCTTGCTAGAATATCTTTCAGAAGGAGTTTTTTTTTTTAAACAGCGTTTTATGATCATCAGCGTTGGTTAAAATCTTTCATAGCTATGAAATGTATGGGTTCAAATTAATCTTTTAATTTCTTTTTTTTTTTTTTTTTTTAGTAAATACAATATTTTTACTTGTTGGATTTGCTCAGAGTCCCAACTTGTCTGAGAATGTCTGATTGAATGTTGATTCTGTGGGGAGAGCTACTGTAAAGATTAAGATGAGGAAAAGGAAAGGCTTCAAGGATTTTTGGAAGATAACAGACATCTGGGTATCAGATATGAGGCCAGAGACTGTGGAGAAGCAGCCCAGCTGACCGAAATGACAGAGTGAGGTGTGGCCGTGGCTTAAAGCTGAACTCCTGAAAACAGGTGCACACACTAGATGGCAATTTAAAAGAAGTACATTCAACATGTTCATTATTGAGTAAAATGCTTTACAAACATATTTAAACCCCTTAAATATTTTTTCATTTTGTTATAAAAAAAAAAGATTGTTTTAATTTCAGAATGTATAAAAAGTTAAAAAGTATGTCTAAAAAAGTAACAGACACATAATACATTTATCTTTTTAAAGCAACAATTTCTTTTAACAGGAAGGAGTCCCTGCCAAGCACTGGCCACCTGTCCAGGGTGTATAAAGAAAATGGATGGATGGATGGATGGATGGATGGATGGATGGATGGATGGATGGATGGATGGATGGATGGATGGATGGATGGATGGATGGATGGATGGATAGGTAATATGGATGGATGGATGGATGGATGGATGGATGGATGGATGGATGGATGGATGGATGGATGGATGGATGGATGGATGGATGGATGGATGGAGTCCCTCTGATGCAGTCTCAAGTCTTTTATAGCATCAAACAGGGTTTTTGCAGGATTAATCTGCTCTTAGTTTTCCTGATATGCTGTGTCGTCTTGGTTGATGGCGAACTCATATTAATACTGTATTTCTGTAACAGTAGTGTGTATTCCACACTACTTGTGTATTCCTGTTGATGAGGAGCAACCCCACAGCATGAGGCTACCATTATTTATTATAATGTAGACGTGGGTTCAAGTTGCAGTGTTAGCTTTCCTCTGTTGTTAATATATTGCCTTACCTGAGCAGAGCTCCTAATTTCATATGTCTATGTCCTCTATAAGGCTTTTGGCAGAGGGTGAGCTGGAGTTTCCTGATTTTTTTTAACAATAGATTTCTTCTCTCCATTTTTATTTTTCATAGAGCCTGGATCTGTAAAGAGGAAGCCTAATAGTTGCCCTTGACTACATTTTCTACCTGGAAGAGATATGACTCTTTACAGCTAAGAATTTATTTTCAAATAAATTCAAATAGTTTCCATTTTTGTGGATTTTTTATACTGAAGGTAAATAAATTATTTTAAATATTTGAGTTTAAATGTGAAGCATGTCTTATCACCAGAATATGATTTAAGTTTGTACAGTGAATATGACTAAACTTTACATTTTTTTAATTGCTCACATTGTTAATATTTTTAATGGTTTTGTCTGGTATTATCAGTAGAAGAATAATATCATGTAAACCCTTTATTGTCCCACATTGGGGAACATCACTCTCTGCATTTGACCCATCCCCTTGGGAAGCAGTGGGCTGCCATTGTGCAGCGCCAGGGAGCAGTGTGGGGTTAAGGGTCTTTCTCAAAGAGCCAGAGTGGAGGCTGTGGGTCACCCTACCTCTCAGCAGGGCATTAAAAATTAGGCTGACTCTTGTTGTTCCCCTGCACAGAAAATTCTTTAGTAAAAGGCAAAATATTTATACGATCTGAAGAGAAATAAGAATGCATGTAGTATTTACTATCATATTTAATAACAAAATAAGAACTGCACCCAGTCAGCTTTGAGCCTATGATTATTTCATATTTCTATATGGTATTACCAGCTGGTTCCATTTTTATTGATCCTATTGACTGGGCAGTAGGGTGAGTTGGCTTCCTAACAGAACCTTGTTCCCCAGAAATAATAAAAAAATACTTTTAAGCGTGCCACAGTTCTTTTTGTGAAGGTTGTATGTATAGAATTAGACCACAATTTCTGTTTTAACGTATGTCTAAGCTTTATATTAAAAACAAATAAAAATTTGAAGAGATGGTTAGATTTTCTTAGATTTAATAAATGGAGGGATTATTTTTATTTATTTATTTTTTTTTTTTACCACATTTATGCTGCTTTTTACAAAATTATCCCAGATTGAATTTTAAGATATGTGACAAAATTAGGCATCTTATTCCTTTGGTTCTTACAATGTTACATCTACTTGTTAAATTCAGAATTATAATATATTAGTGAATTCATGTATAATCTAATATGAAACTCCTGGAGAAAATTAGGCTTAGAGTGCATTTAAAAGCAATACTGTTGGATCCTTGGTTGTTTGCTTCTCTTATCTTTCTCGTCCTCAGGGAATGCTAGTTTAAGTTCCCAGCTGATCTCACTTGGTTGCAGTCAGGAGGCCATATTTACAGGAGTGGATTTCATGGGATGGTTGCACTTTAGTTAAACTCTGCTTTGGTATCCTACCTACTAGCTCCCTAGCATACTCTGATTCTAGGTAGAAACTGCCCTTCCCTGTCCTCCTTTCCTTTCAGTCTGGCTGTTTCCTCATCCGTCCTCCTCTCTTCCTCTGAAACAACCCTCAAGTGCTCACCTGCACGTCCACCCTCTGCAAATCCCTCTGGAAAGTGTTACTTCTAGCTTGCGCACTTCCTCACAACCAGATCCCTTCCTATTGGACTCTCCTGCTCCCCCAGGGTCTGCTTCATCATCTGTGAACTCTAAGAAATGTGCAGCTCTGTCAAACTCCCCAAACTCCCCCTGTTGTTGCATTGCTAACTGCATGTCTCTCCCTGAACATTTCCAGTCTGTGTTTCTTCCAGCTGCCTTCACCCCAAGTTGATCTACTCTCCTGCCTGCAAAAAAATATAAAAACTATGTAAAAAAAAAAATTTTTAACCTACCTCTGTCTAATATTATGACAAAAACTGCCTTAAAATTATGATTTTTCTAACAATCAAGAAAAACAGATATGTTGCAAGGTAGTGTATGAAAAATGGTTAAAATGCATTTAAAGAATAAAAAATGCAGCATTTCAGTTGTTATAATCAGGCAAAAAAAAAAACTTTAAGCATCTTTAATTTTTCATTTTTTGCTACTTTTTAAATTGGTAGTGAGACGATTCGATAGGCCTATATAAAAAACAGAATATCATAAGGATAACATAGCTCCTTTACAGCTCTATCAGAAAATACATTTCCAAAAGAGCTCCAATAATAGACAGCATGTCTTGGACAGAAACTGGGGCTGGTTTTCAACAGTGTTCTTTCTTTCTACCTTTCCTATAGATTTCTATATATTCTTAAAACCATTGTGATCTCTAAAGAAAGAGGAAGTTTTGGGCTTAACTGATCCATTTATTTTTTGTTTTCCCCAAGGAAGAATCTCTCTATTGTACCTTGTCTATCCTCTCTATTTTACTCCCAGCACTCAGTGGTTGAAGCTTATTATTTCCCAGTGCGAAGAACAAATCACTACTTCCGCCTCCAGCAATCTTCTCCACATGGCGTAGACAGTCTAAGTGTAACCGTGTGAAAGAATTGTAGTGCGCACAAAGTGATTTTCATGAATGACACTTTATTAGCAACACCAGAAAATCTTTTCCGCCTTAAATAATAAATTATTTCCATAGATCTGCTATCCTTGCTGCATCTTCTTTGCAGAGTGGGCAGGTATTGTTGGGACACCAAGTGTGATGAGAGACAAAAGCTGGACAGATTCATCCATCAAAGAGCAACGTAGAGACAAACAGCCAACTAACCTAACATTTATATATATATATATATATATATATATATATATATATATATATATATATATATATATATATATATATATATATATATATATATATATATATATATATATATATATATATATGTATATATATAAATGTATATATAAATGTTATATGATATATATCATTTTTATTGTAAAAGAAGCTGGAGTAGAAGTGGTGAACATGTAAACTTCATGCAGAAAAGCCGTGACTCCTTTTTTCCCAGTTCCTTTCAGTAACTGAATGAAAAGTTGGTTCAAGTAGATCTTCTAATCCGATTTATCTGAGTGTTCACCATCTATATTTGTGAAGTTCAAGCTTTTCACCTTCTTTAAAAAAAAAAACTGCCCTATTTATCTTCACATGTAATTTTGAAAATTGCAACTGTTGTTTTAGAGCTTGCTTTATTCTAATGTGATTAAAACTCAGAGCGTCAGGAGACCCCTGTAAAACTTTATTGGCAGGATGAAGCTAACGTTTTGATCAGCAGAGAAGCAGTTGCAATTTGGACTTGGATGTAAAGTATCAGGAGCCACTTACTGTAGGAGCTAAAGTAGGTAAAAAGGAAAGGTAAGTTAGATGGCTCTTTTGATCTAAGTTAAATTTTCTGAAATGTTTTTTAAGAGGGTCAAGCAAAATCGTTCAATTGCCTTAACTTAACATTTTGCACACAAATACAACCTTTAATGCATTTTATTGGGATTCTCCATGATAGACAAATACAAAGTTTATTCTTGGGACCTTTTTTAATACACATTTTTTTTAAATGGCCATTAATTTTTCTTCAAAACCTCTCAAATCTGATATCAATAAAAACATAAACTAATTCCCTTCTGAAAACTGTTTCCTTTAAAGACTCCACACATTTGCAATTCAATCAAAGTATAAAGATATTCTGAAAAGGCCGCACAATTGTATAAGTTAATTATGCAGATCAAAAAAACAGCAAAGAGCTTGAAGATGAAGTTATGAAGATGTTTAAAGCAGGTCCATCACCAGGAGAATTACAGAATCCATCAAAGGAGCGAAAAATATGGCCCAACAGAAACCCCAGCAAGTCATGACCATTAACTTCAACTGATTATACATGCAATCAAGGGTTCACTGGTAAGTCTTGAAGAGCTATGAAGATCTACAGCTCTGGTAGAAGAATCTGTCAACATCTATTAGGTCATGAATCCCACATATTAGAAATTAATGAAGTAATATGCAAGTCAACAGTTAGTAGATGAAACAGTTCTTTGTTAGTTTATCGACTTCATGCAAAAAAAAAATGCGGCATAAACCTGAACCCACCATTTCAAAATATGATACAAAAGGAAAGAATTGAATAGTTAAAGCACATTATTTCTCAAATCCTCACCCCACTCTTCACAAAACACAGACAGAGAACACTTAGATGCATGAAAGCTTGCTTTATTCTTTGCTGTTATAGCTGCCCTGAATAAAAGGCTTTGCTGAAAAGATGAGTTTGAACACTTTATTTTTCCCAAAATGTTATCCTTGTTATTTTGTCTCTTTCTGTATGTCTTCTGTAGAATAAAAAGCTGAAATTGGTATAAATATTCAGAAAGGCATTCCTCATTTTAAATACATGTGTTGATTCTTGTGTAACTTTTTCTGTACGTTGATTTTTACATTTTGGTTTGTAAATGTATCTCTATTTTTGCTTTCTGTGATCCCATTCTTACCAGATTCCTGTTTTTGTATGGTTGATAAATCAGATATTCATGTTGCTATAGCAGAACAATAGCAGAATGGCTTTGACCTTTCTGATGCTTTTTTTCTAAATTATTTATTTTATTGTATGGAAGTTGTTTTTTATGCTATTGAAGGTGATTTCTGTCTTTTACAATTTATATGAAATACCTACATCCCCTCGACATCCTCAGACCGTTCAACCTAACCTTATGTCTTATTAAGCTGTGGTGTGACTGATTCTGGACCATTTTGCTACTCTGTTAACTTTCCCAACCAGTCCCATCCGCAGTTTGATGATGCCGTCATCTGCTGCAGGAAGGTGACTTCTACCTGGAGGATGGGGGAGAAGCTTATGTTTTTTTCATGCCTTCTTTGCTGAGATATAATCTTAAAATGGGTTATTATCTGTCAGATAGCCCTCAGGATGTCAAACTAGGGAAGGACCCTGCTAGATGTGATCAGTCAAACAGGAGAGCATCAGCAGTCTTTCCTGTCTTTGCTTTCTTTCTTTACCTCAGACCAAATTTCTGAGCCTGAACAAAAACAACTTTCTTAGCTGCATTTGATGGGAATCTGACTAGATGAAATTTGTGGGCAATCTAGTGAAGTATTTAAGCAGTGATTGGCTTCATTTCCAAGTAAGATAAAGGATAAGAAAACCAAACACTCAATATATAGTATTTTTTTCTTGAGACATAATTGGAGACATACTTCCCATAGTTTTAAACCTCCATGGAGTGCCAAAAGGCCAGTGTTTACTCTAGTAAACTAATTTAAACAAAGCTGTTAATTGCCAAGTTTGCTTGGTTTCCATTAGGAACTACATGAAAGACAAGACAAAGAAGTATTAACAGAGCTGATAACTAAGGGCATTAAAGCAGAAACAAATCCAGCCCAATTTTACACTCTGTCAGCCACACTTTGGACAACAAAGAGCTAAAGTCAGGCTGAACACACAGAAACCCTGCCAATGGTATTGTTAGGCTGTAATGAGATCAACTGGCCAGTCAGTCTGGAAGCTTTGAAAGCAATTAATTATTTTTTTTAAATAAGTACATAGACTGTCTATAATAAGTAAACTGTGAAAACAGATTGACTGACAGAGATCTAACATCAACTAAAACATTCATTGGGATTTTTGGTCTTTTAGGAAGTTCTGGTTCTTCTTCAGAGTCCCCTTTCGATGGGAGGGAATGTGGAAAGCCCAGCAGGCATCCTAATCAGATGACTGAACCATCTAAGTTGATTACTTTTTTGTGGCGGAGCAGCTATCCGCAGATGATAAAGCTTCTCCCACTATCTCTAAATCTGAACTCATCCAACCAACCAGAGGATTAAATCCACAAATGGACACAGTAAGAGCTATTTCAAGACCTTGATGAAAGATCACTGAAATACGTCCTCCCAGCCTGAAAAGCGAAGCTGGGGAACATTTGTGAGCCAGTAGGTAAAAAATAAGAATCCTAAATTTTATGTTGGAGTAGATATTTTCTGGGTTAATCTCTGAACATACGTAAACAATTTGCGTGTTGGCCAAATAATTTAGCATCTGTCTCACCTAACCTACCCGAATACTTCCTTCCATATCTTTTCTTTTTTTTGTGTACCTTACATTTTTGAATGATACTTAGCACAATTGTAATTAGGTATTTATACATAACTATATTTCAAACTAAATTGTCTATATATTTCAAAAAACATACTTGGTCATTGAGGTAAACCCTCCCCAAGCTGACAAATAGGACATAATTCAAACTTGGCCAGGTCCTTGAGCATTGAGCACCTTGTGCTTCTCGGCACTCCAGACATGTTGCAGCTCTGAAATATGGCACAACTGGTGGTTAATGGCTTCCTGGTAGCTTCACGCTTGATCCGTCTCAATTCATAGGAAGTTATTTTGCGTGTTCTTTTTTCAACAAGGTTCTTGCGTCTTGCCATGAACCGCCTGATTGTGCCATGATCCCACTTCTAAAGCTTGCCAATTTCCAAACTGCTGCACCCCTATGAAAGACATCTGACAATTTTTGACTTTTCAGAGTCTGTCAAATCTCTTTTCTGAGCCATTTTGCCAAAGGAAAGGAAGTTGCCTAATAATTAAGCACACCTTATACAGGGTGTTGATGTCATTAGGCCACACCCCTTCTCATTACAGAGATGCACACCACCCGATTTACTTAATTGGTAGTTTGCTTTCAAGCCAAAGGATGATGTGGTCGAAATACTCATTTGCCTAATAATTCTGCACAGTGTATTGGTCTGCTAAATAAGATGGAAAATTTAGCTTCTGATCCTCCTCAGATGTAGAAACCCCATTAACACTATAATAGTTGGTAATGGTGTACATGATATCAAAACATCATGCCGGACACCATAACTAGCTCCTATAGTGTTACTGTGATTGCTATAACTCACATGCATCATCAGCAGTTAGTGTTTCATCTTCCTTGGTCTTCATTATTCTGTATTTTTTTAAGAGCTCTCATGATAAGACAGGGCGCCCCTATCCTTGTCTTTATGACCCGTTTTTCTGCATGTTTCAGGTTTTTAACAGTTTTCAAGAACCTGTTTTCAATGATTAGATCGTTGACCAAATTCTGCCAAAAAGAACCAAGAAACATTCTAATTCTTGGACTGAGATGTGCTAGAAACAGGAACAGACCTGAAACCTGAAGGGTTGGACTGAACTGCTATTCTAATTTATGAGTTGGTCCCAGAAATTTCCAATGAAATCATTGAACTTTGGGGTTGTAATGTAAAAAAAAAAAAAAAAAAAAAGCCAAAGAGTTGAATAAATCTTTAAGGTACTGCAACAACACTGCCTTTCTCATAGCAGGTTGTGGGCAGACATAGGAGTCGGCACTCTTCAATGTTGCATCATTGCTGCAGAGATCTGCCACATCCAAACTCAGACCAAAACAAGTGCTCCTTATTTTATTCCATCACCATCCCGGTTGTGGTTGTTTTGTAGCAAAGTTTTTCAGTTCATTTAGATATTTTGCTTGGTTCCAGTTCCATACAGTGGCATATTTAAAGCAGCCTGCAGGCCAAGAAAGTCATCAAATCTTAATATAGTATAAAGGTTTCAGATCATTAAGTTTAAATATGAGATTTTAGCTTTTGTTTTTGGAACATAGTTTAAGAAAAGAAAAAAAAAAACATCACAGTGGATGTATTTTACAATTTATTGTATCACAGGTATGAAGAGAATAATTGGTCAGAAAAGGTCTAAAAACTATGAAACACAAACTTTTGTTTTTGTAAACATTTTAAATCAATTTTCCTAATTGTTTTTATATAATATATATATATATACTGCTATCAGTCCGATCAGCTAATCCTTTATGTGCTGGCACAGTGTGAGGTAAATCAGCTAGTTACTAGAGGGGCCATCGCAGCAGGATCTGGAACACATATCTGCTGATCCATCTTTAGAGAGCATCAGGACTTTCCAGGCTGTTATGATGGAAAAACTGCAAGGGCAAAAAACAGTTTATGTTGGGTGTTTTTGTTTTTTTTAACCTGATAAAAAATAAAGTCTCCATCTGCCAAAGATCCATTTTCCCCCTCAAAAAAATTAGTTATTTGGAAAAGGCTTTTTGTACTTTAACTTGATCCAGGTGAAAAATCAATTTGATGATCTGAAACATTTAAGAGTGACAAAAAAGTAAAAACAGAAGAGATCTGTAGAGGTGGAAATTCTTTTCAAAACTCTGTATCTTCATATTCTTATTTTACCACAAAAACACAATTTGTTCTGACATTTAAAGAAGTAGTTACCCAAAGAGAAAACTAATTAGTTATGTGATTCACAGCACATTCCAATAAAAGCTAGAGTAAGTGCAAATAGAGAAATACTGTCGCTGGTGTATATGCTGCTGAAACAGATGAAACTAAATGAACAGAATCCACATTGAGATTGTGTCAGAAGTCATGAACAGATGAAGCCGATGTGTTTATTTGATGCTTGAGCCAGTTTGCAAAAGAATCCAAATCACCACAGCATAACTAATTATTCTATTTACTGATTATTGGCTAAGCACTAAAATATTCCTTCTGTAATTATCTTAATTGTGGCTAGTAGCTCATAACCAAGTATCTAACAGGGAAATGTAACAGATCACAAAACTAAATGCTGTGATTAGACACAGATAATTACACAATCCCAAATTTATGTGCACATGGAGTTTTCAGTTGCATATTGAATATCTTCAACAAAAAACTAATTTTAACACTAAAGTATGGTTAAATCACTTGGAGCTTCAACATCATTTGGTTCAAGAAGGGTGTCAGCTGAGAGAAATCTCTTCCAATTTAAAGCGATTTGAAAGCTATAAGTGTCAACTTATTGTTCGTAGTGTGCTTTAGTCTCAAAATGGTTTGAAAATGACTTTTCATTTATATTTTATGTAAATAACATATTTTATTTACTGCCTTCCTGTGTAAAGGAGGTTGGCTAGTAGCAGTTTTTCTAAAAGAAGAAAATGATTCAAGACCAAACTTGAGTCATAACAGAAACTTTATTTAGGTTTTCAGTTTACAAAGTGTCCTGCATCAAATTCATTACAGAACAAACCAGGAACAGAAATAGAAGGCCACGCAGTACAGCCGAATAAAAAATTAAAACCACTTCTTCGGTTGAATGGTGAAATAATGGAGCGAGAGAGGAGAGGCTTTGGGAAGAAACGGAAGCAGAGGAAAGCAGATATGTGAGGAAAATGAAATTATCAAACACAAACCTTCACAGAAGGAGATAATTACACTTGCCACAGCTTTGCATAACGCTGCAGAAATGACTGACATCCTTTACGGGTTTATCATAAAACACAATGAAAAATAACATGGATTATTTCCCCAATTGATTCTCGCTGCGTCGAAACATAACAACTGTGTCTTAATCTCCCAGTAAATGAGCCGCTTTCTCCACTCAGGTGTGAAAGGAGACGCTTACAGCTCCAGCTTACTTCACTCCTACGACACCACAGAGGACATTCTGTAGCCAAACAGTGTCTGCTGGAGCTGAAACATAAATGAAATAATAAATCATAGATAAAGATGTTGCTGATAAACACCGACGAGAGCAAGATGAATCTCCAGGAAATTGGAGAACGGCGCCCTCTGACCGACGGGAGGCTGCAGCGGGTTCAGAATGCAGATATATCGTTTTTAGGAAGTGGGAGGCTGGAGGGTCTTTGATGTAGCAAGCATGGCTCGCACTTTGGCCATTAGATCCTGAAAGACAGAAGCAAAAGGTGAATTTTCAAATGTTATTCTAGAAGTTCTTTAAAGCAACTGCAAACATCCTGTCATTTTCTAGTGTTTTAAGTTACTCTAATATACCAGGGAAGCTGCAGGACTGGCTAAAGTTTGTTTATACCTGTTTAATGAAGCATAGCAGAATGAAGGAAGGCTCGGAGTGCTTTTCTTTTTTAAATATATTTTTCGTCAGAAAAAGAAAAATGCTCTGTCTGGTATTAAAGCTAAAAGCATCAACAGTTATTGTTCAAAAAAAAAGTAAGGCAGCTTTAAAACTCTAAGAACAGTTTATGTGGCCCCTGAAGTCTTTCTCGCCCACTTTTCATTTATTTTGAATGTTTTATGTTTTTCTAACCAGAACAAAAAGATAAAGACAATCATTACTAAGTAAGTAAAATTAAAAACAACAACAAACAAATCTTATAACCATAATAGAGGAATGGCAAAACACTGGTGTTGGGTTATAGAGAGATGACATTGGAGTGAGCTGAACACAGCCCAGAGGTAAACAGAGAACTATATATCTGTTATGTTGTGAAGATGCATAGCTGCAGGATTTCAGGACATCATGAGGATTTATATGACAACAGGCAGCAAAGACGAGCATCTCAACACCGTTTTCAGAATACATGAAGCATAAGGAAGTGCCATGACACAGAGCCTGAACCATCTGCCTGCAGAGCAGCAGAAATACGCTGCTACAACTGTTGCAACAGAGATTGATATTGCTTCATCCAGATGACAGTCAATTTAGAGGAGAGGAATAAAGACATTTCTTCTCTGTGGTGGATTTAGGGACGTGACTGTAATTGGGACTAATCATTTACATTTACTGATGCATGTTTATGCAAACTAACAACGTGGGGTCTGCAAGAGAAGCGGCCACCGCGGCAGCATTTATGGCGCTCTCTGCTGCACTCTGCTAATTATGAATACAAATCAAATAAGAATGAGTTCGGAGTAAATATTGATCATAGCTTTTCTTAATGAAATAATACGATTAGTTAAATGGACTAAATCTAGAGGATAGCATAGCTTTTAGCAAGATATAGCTTAAAGCACAGAATAGACACAGGACAGCATTGTCCTGCCAGAGCGGCTCTGAGTCGGATTTCATCTCATTCTATTTAATGATCCTTAGGAGGTTAACAGGATGGATTTAAGTTTGTTAGAATCGTGCAAATCAGTGTTACATAGATTTTCTTACAACCCTTTGGGCTGAAACAAAATTGACAACAAAAGTAGAGTAGATCAGGAGATGCTGCTTAGTTTGTGCAAGCAACATGAAAAAACAACACTTTCTTGTAAAAATAGAACTATCAATATCCTAATCCATCACACAATAGCATAAGTATATCTTGCAGTATCACATTCTATATATTGTAGGAATAAGCAATACTATCTAGCTCAAATACCTACAAAATTCTATTTTTGAATTACAAAAAAGTCAAAATTATTTATATGAATAACAAATTGCTTCTGATTCTGTCAAGAAATGTATTTCTGATTGAAAATACATTAATCTCTGAGATTAGGAGGAAACTGAAAATGACTCATTATTTTAAATTCACCATGTTATTTGTGCCTTAAAACAGAAATGATAAAGTCTTTGATTTGTTTAAAAGTTTTTCTTAGATTGATCTGTTTTGACTTGTTTGTTATAAGATGAAGCCATACCTACGCTGCACCAACAAACATTTCCAGCGAATTTTCCTCATCAGGGTGTTTTGGATTTACTTTTGCGGATCCTCTATAATTTTCTCCACAAGCCCAATTGATCTGCAATCAGAGCCTGAACCAGTGCAACACTCTAGAGTGATACGTAAACTAATTACCATCACTTAAAATAACTGACCACAGGGATTAGGCTGATGTTGTAATGTTTTTTCCGTTGTCTTTGCAGTGCATTACAGCTCCTCAATGAATAGTTATTCATGTATAATTAATCAAAGAACTCCCTGAGGCGTGAAAAAGCTGGTAGTAACACTGCTTCCACTGGGAATCAACTAAGCAGCTTGCAGTGGCCTAAGCTCACAGTTTTGTTTTTGTTCCAACATTGAATGGATAAATGTAGCCATCAAATTGTGAGAAACATGTTTGTCAGAGCAGAGCGACGCAGGAGGTTCTGGCCCAATGCCATAGACTTGGTAAAATGGACAATATAAAAGAACAACCATGTATGTCTTTTGTTGCGGCGCAGTGGAGTCCATCTCAAATCTGCTGGTAAAGGTCAGAACTCCCACTAAGCCAACAGACTGGTAATGTAAAACTTCTGTGCAAACTCAGGGGGGGATGTCAAAAAAATATGTTTTTAAATAGAAAATAAAATGTTCATTTGCAGCAAAGTTGCCGTTGTAAGCAGAAGAATTAAAAACAGGAGCAGAAAAGCTGCAGAAAGTTGCTTTCCATTCCCCTTCGGTTTCAGGTAGACTTTTTTGAATCCTGCTGACTGGCAGCCAAATGCTTGCTCTGCAGAAAAGAAAGTGTTAATTTGCATTGCATCCCATGAGTGATTCATACACGCATGGAAAGAATTCCACCCCTGAACCCACCTGACAGACTAGACAAATTAACAGCTGTAATCACACGGGGGAAGGAGCCGTCACATCAAATTACTCAAAAGGTCATTTTTTTTTCTTGATGTGTCTGAGCAAACAAAGGCCAACGACACACCAGCTTCACCGAATCGAGGAAACCAGGCTCCAAATGGGAATCGCCTCTTCTCAACAACAAATGTATCAAGAAACGACACGGCTAAATAATTTAGGATCAAATGTAATATTAAATTCCTGTAACTTGGAACAGAACATGATTCGAATGAGAGAGAAACTTTTAATGAATATTTCACATGTTGATCTAAATGTTTCTAATACATTTCAATTAGATGTAGCTAAAGAAATAAACTTATAAAGTTTAATAAACCTGAGAAAAACCTATCCTGATGGATTGTTAAGAATTTATTCAACTTTTTATCTTTTTTTATAAATCCAGTTTGGGTTTTTACACGTTAAAGCTTTGCAGTCTTTTTTTTTTTCAATCAAATTTTTAGCCAATTTATTAGACATACGTGTCAAATGCTTTTGAACACTGATAGCAAATAAGCCACTCAAGCTGAACACACTGAGCATCAGAATTAGAAAGAAAGGGGATTTAAAGTGACTTTGGTTAGTGATGGGTGAAAAAAAATCTAATTTTGATGTAAAGCGATGTCAACATAGGCAATTATGAATCGCTTAACAAACATCAAGACTCGATTATGTTAATTTAGACCTAATTGTGAGGAAAGCGTGAGGCGGAACATCAAGTATGGCACCCAAACAATCTAAAGGTGAACACATAAGGTTACATGCATCACATCCTTCACTCTGTGGAGGGAAAACAGGGAAAATGACTTGGACAAAAGCCAAGAAAAACTAAATCGACATGAGGAACCATATCAGAACAGTCAGCCTGGAAGCAGAGCTAAAACTGATCTTTTTACCTGCTGCCTTAAACCAGACCATCTGGTTGTCTTTACTGTTCAAAAGTAAAGACAACCAGATGAAATCAAGAGCTGAGCAAAGCATCTTTCGTTTCCACAGACAAAATGCCTCAATGTAAAAAAAAAATTAAAAAAAGGATGGATAAATTTGAAGTGATAGAGCGAGAGTTGAATGTGTGGCATGTTAAAAAGCACAAACAACCAAAAAATGAATTTAAAAGCAATGAAGTTGCCGCTTACTGTAAGAATAGGATCTGTTTGAGGAGAAGAATTAGTTACTTGTTACTCAGGAAGATCTAGAATAATAATATCTGGCACAAGAAAAGCTATTTTTAAATGAACACAGTCTAATCATATATCATTACTATAAGCTAGTGTTGTGGGCTGAATGCATTGTCGCAATCAAGGATGTCAGTAAAGCTGGGTAATTACTGTGTAGTTTCAATGTTATTTGGGAGGAAAATAAAGATTATGATAAAATTGTGATAATTATAACCTAAAGTATGACAGTATGATTTCAACTGGCTTTATTTCATTGATATCTGTGTTTAAAATATAAAACCAGAAAATATATATTCTATTATTATAGCCTAAAATATCCCTGAATACTGAAAACTGTTACGGTTCATATACCCCCAGCACTTTTCACCACTTTACTATGTCTAGACTGAAGTGCTTTCAAGGTATCATGTTTAGACTTATTGTGCAATTTCTTCAAAATCAAAAGAAACAGCACCTTGCTTCTCAGTTAACACTTTTCTTCTCAGTCACAGCTGCAAATTTGTAGTTGATGACTGTTTATTTATTTATTCATTTTTTACTAAAAGCGTGATATTTTCATATATTGTGAGTGATGGTCCAACTGCTTTTCAGAAAATAAAAAATATAACCCCATGGGTCTGACTGCATGGATGGAGGGTTTATGAAACATCAACAAAAACAAATCAGAACAAACTAAGGGGTAGAGTAGTAAGGAGTGATCTGATAAAAAACAACAACAAAGCAATGGTAAACAGGTTTAAAGGTGGGCTTATTATCTTCCAATATTAGAAGAAAAAGTTTAAGAAAACCGAAGTAGACTAGGAAGGCTGTGATGCATCAAAAAGCAAGCAGGCAGGAAAGCAGAGGTCATTACGAAGATAAACAAGGCTGAATTATTCAAGAAATGCTTGTAAAACCTCACAGACTGGATAAGAAGATGTAAGCCGTTTAGTACCTAAGCATGTTTGCAAAACGTTCCTCAACAAGATTTTTTGGTGTTAGTATGTGGTAATGAAGGCAAGAACAGAGGTCAGGAGAGCTAGTGAATACAAAGAAGAAATAAGATCATGTTTTTGTTTTGATGAGAAGGAAACGTTAAAAAACAGGAGAGAGACTGTAAGAGGCGGTAGATTCTCTCTGAGTGTTAAAAAGAGTTTAAGAAGCACCCAGGTGTACTGAATAACACTGTTGACCTCCATTATATCAACAGCAAATGCTTTTTAATTTTGGTACACTGGAGCTTCTCAATTTGTTTTTAGAGGAATACTTGTTTTCCTCTTCAACAAACAGAGGGGAATTAATATATCTTAATATTTGTACTTGCACTAATCTTTTGTCAAGTACATTTTTAAATCAAATAACCTACTAATCCTTAAGCCGCAGTTTTAAATGCAAATATATAAACATATACCGTGAGGAAAATAAGTATTTGAACACCCTGCTATTTTGCAAGTTCTCCCACTTAGAAACCATGGGGGAGTCTGAAATCGTCATTGTGGGTGCATGTCTTCTGATAGAGACATAACAAAAAAAATAAATAAATAAAATAATAAAATAAAATAGCAATAGATTATTTTTTTTAACTATTTATGTACCATACATGTATCATACAAATATGTTTACATATGATCTGTAAATAAGTATTTGAAAACCTGTCTATCAGCTAGAATTCTGTCAGTCTGCCTTCAATATGTCCACCTCCACTCCATTTATTATCCTAAATTAGATGCACCTGTTTGAGGTCGTTAGCTGCATAAAGACACCTGTCCACCCCATTCAATCAGTAAGGATCCAACTACTAACATGACCAAGACCAAAAAGCTGTCCAAAGACACTAGAAAAAAACAAACAAATTGTACACCTCCATAAGGCCGGAAATGGCTACGGAAAAATTGCCAAGCAGTTTGGTGAAAAAGGTCCACTGTTGGAGCAATCAATAGAAAATGGAAGAAGCTAAACATAACTGTCAATCTCCCTCAGACTGAAGCTCCATGGAAGATCTCACCTCGTGGGATCTCAATGACCCTAGGAAAGGTGATAAATCAGCCCAGAACTAAACGGGAGGAGCTGGTCAATGACCTGAAAGAGCTGGGACCGTTTCCAAGGTTACTGTTGGTAATACACTAAGACGTCATGGTTTGAAACGTGCATGGCATGGAAGGTTCCCCTGCTTAAACCAGCAGATGTCAAGCCCTGTCTTAAGTTTGTCAATGACCATTTAGATGAACCAGAGAAGTCATGGGAGAAAGTCAGATGAGACCAAAATAGAACTTTTTGGTCATAATTCTACTAACTGTGTTTGGAGGAAGAAGAATGATTAGTTCCATACCAAGAACACCATCCCTGCTGTGTATCATGGGGGTGGTAGCGTAATGCTTTGGGGGTGTTTTTCTGCACGTGGGACAGGATGACTGCACTGCATTTAGGAGAGGATGAGTGGGGCCATGTATTTTGAGATTTTAGGGAACAACCTCCTTTTCTCAGTTAGAGCATAGAAGATCGGTGGAGGCTGGGTCTGCCAACATGACAGTGACCTGAAGCACACAGTCAGGATAACCTAGGAGTGGCTCTAGAACAGGGGTGCTCAAGTCCAGTCCTCAAGAGCTACTATCCTGCAAGTATTTCATGCAACCATTTTTAACACACCTGAATCAAATGAGTGGCTCGTTGCCATGCCTCTGATGAGCTAATGGGGGATTGAGGCTTTAGATTCAGGTGTGCTAGAGAAGAGATGCATATAAAAGTTACAGGATGGTAGCTGTTGAGGACTGGACTTGGGCACCCCTGCTCTAGAAGAAGCACATCAATGTTGGGGCATGGCCTAGCCAGTCTCCAGACCTAAACCCATTAGAGAATCTTTGGAGGAAGCTCAGACTCCGTGTTTCTCAGCGACAGACCAGAAACCTGACTGATCTAGAGAGGATCTGTGTGGAGGAGTGGGCCAAAATGCCTCCTGCAGTGTGTGCAAACCAGGTAAAGAACTACAGGAAACGTTTGACCTCTGTAATTGCAAACAAAGGCTACTGTACCAAATGTTAACATTGATTTTCTCAGGTGTTCAAGTACTTATTTGTGGTTGTATCATACAAACAAATAGTTGAAAAATCATGCATTAAGATTTCTGGATTGTTTTTTTTTAGGTTATGTCTCTCAAAGTTGACATGCACCTACAATGACATTTTCAGACCCCTCCGTGATTTCTAAGTGGGAGAACTTGCAAAAATACTTATTTTCCTCACTGTATATAGGCCTTAAGATAAGATATTTAACAAGAATAAAAAGCTAAACACAAGTTATTGTTCTGATTAGACATTCTGATCAGTTTGCAATTTTATAGGTGTGCATGAAAATTTTGGGGATGGTGCTTTAAAAACAGCATTGATTAAAAATTTTAGCTAAAAATTGTAATAGGTCATGTGAAGGTTTGTTTGCGCTGATAAACACCAACATCCCTTTAACTTTTTTACATGAATAATAAGAAATAATAGGAAATGTGTTAGCTGATGTCATTAGGGAGGTTTATTTCTTCACTGTTGCACATTGAGGAGCAACAGCAACTTTTTTAAGTAGCTCTGAAAAATCAGTTTAGATTATTCAGCCAACTGCTGGAAGAAGGGTAACAGTTTGGGCAGACATCAATGGGTCAGTTTATCTAGTTTGATGTAAAGGAGTATCTTAAATGATTCACTGTTTTTGGATCAGTTCAATAAAAATATCAGCTATTCTTTCTTATTGAACTTGGTTTGATTTAATTAATTCAGTGAATGTAAAAGCCTGGCTAAGTTCAGTGCTTACTAATATAGAAGGACGATGTCTTCGTATAGAAAGTACATTCATGGCAACTGAAACTAAATATCCAAGACCACTACAGAAAAAGTTTTAAAAACCAACCAATAAAAAAAGTACTCGACCCTGGAACACAGTTTCCCATCAAAACAGGTCAACAGACTAGTTCTGATTTTTTAGTCCCTCAATCTGCTCGCAACGATCCTCAACAAATGATTGCAAACTGAAGAGGTGGTGAGAAACGAGACTCTGAGCCCTGGCTTCTCAGTGAAAAGCCTTTCAGAGAATACCTGACAAACCTTCAGACATGAATAAATATTCCAACTCCTGTTGTGGATCATTGACGACGTCGGAAATTCACTTCTATTTTCTCTTTAACTGCAGAATAAAATCCTGTGGATTGTTTGAAAATACTAATACAACCCTTCACAGGAAGAATAAGTGGGATTATGTAGAAACAAACCTGCTTGCCAAAGACACTGAAAGGAAGAATAGTTAAATAGAAACCTAAATATGACCAATTAGAATTTAAAACCTTTCCAGAATGCATAGGAATCCTGTCCATAAGTGATCTAATTATTATGTAAACTTATTAAAATTGGGCAAAACTTTCCTGCAATTCAAACCCATCCAAGCTTTCAGAAAACTTAGATGAATCAATCTTAATCAGTCCAGACAGAAAGCATGTAAAGAATAACATGACATTTAATAATCATTGGTTCAGTTGGAAATAGGAACGCAGCACTTATGTTAATTTCATAGCAGTGGCACCAAAAAGGATGTTATATTCTCTTAAGTTGCATTGTTCACACAAAAAAAAATAGTTGCCAATTCAAAGAGACGGCAACTTCCATCTTCTTACACTAAACAAAATCAAAGAGGAAACAATAGTTTAGAGCTGAAAAAGTTAATTGAATTAATCGCTTATTGAAATAATGGTCAACTAATTTAGTAATTGATTAATCATTAACTGGGGCAGATACTGTAAAACATGCCTTTAGCTGACAGAGCAAACCACTTAGAGCAGTAATTATATCAAAACTGTAAAGAAATATATAAACATTTTGCATTTAATATAAAGAAAATTCTTTGTCTGTCAATATACTCTATCCAGAACTCCTCGAGTGTAAAAGTTTTAGTTTCACCTGGTTTTATTTTGTAAAAAAATCTTCAAGGAACCATTGCCTATCCGATTATTAATCGAATCGAAAAATAACCAACAGTGAAATAATCGTCAGTTGAAGCCCTACAATAGTTTGAAAGAAATTCAAAAGATTATTTTTATATTGTTGGATAGCATCTATATAACCCCATCGCCATCCCCCCCCAAAGTATTTCATGTTACTCATGAGAGTGAGAGGGACATCTAATCGCCTTGAATACAAGAATAACACTGATGTCTTCCCAGAACTAACCTGAAAGGTCCGAAGGACATATTAATACAACAGAAAAAGGGACCTAATAAAGCGCTCCACAAAACAAAAGCTATGAAAATGGAATATAAAAGTGCAAAGCACTTTGCATCCTTTCTTTTCCTCCGATAGAAACCAAAAAGACCCACTCAGTACATTTATTGGGCAGGCGGTGAAGTTTGGTATACGATACATTTGAGATAAAAGCAAAGAACAATACCTGAGTTATTTTTGACTGCACAGAGGAAACTATGGACGAAGACACTGCCTTGTCTTTCTCCTGAGAACCACCCCTGAACAGAAGAAAAAAAAAAATCAATTGTGTTAACAGGAGCACACATGTAATATTCATGATATTTTCTAAAATGCTCAACTTGGACAGGCTTCAAGCACAGAAAGAGGAGGAAGGAAGAGCAAAAGAATAGAAAAGTAGAAGAAAAATGCTTTTGACCTGTAAAAATACAAACATCCATCCAGAGGCCAAACCATCCAGCTTCAAACGGCCGAATGGAAAATCACATAAACAGCAGAAACACTGTAGTCTTCAACTTTACCATCATGGTTCTGTCTTTAGCTTTATCTCTTTTTAACAAGGAAAACACTTCATAATTTAACAAGCTATAAAAAAAAAAAGAAGAAAAAAAAAATCGGCAGAGAATTGTTCACATCAAGCAGATTGAACAGAGTAGGTGAAGCTGCAGTGCAGACGGCTACTGGGGTCTTAGAGTTGGGTCCAAAAGCCTGTCCCATCTACTCATTTATTTACAGATTTGCCTGCTAAGACCCAGTAAAAAGATGACTAAGTAATAAATACTGAAACAGGTAAAAAGTCCTAAACTAAATCATGCAGAATCATGCACATAAAAAAAATGGAAATGAAACAGTTTTAGATAAAAACTAAAAAAGATGGTTTGATTTAATATTTGTTCTGATAGATTAACATAGACTAGAGATTAAATCATTTAAAAAAAGAATTTTATAGAAGCCTAAGTGCCAGATTTGAGGGAACACTTTGCATTAGCATAAACAAGAGTCTTTATTTTATCACAATTAACAGGAAAAAAAGTTCAGCAGAGGTTGATCAATGATTAGAACTTGCATGGGATTGCCTTTGGCCTAAGGTCCCATCCATTAGCAACTGTTCATTTGTGCTGGCAGCAGTTCATGGAGTGCAATCAGTTATTTAGTCAGTAGGTGTTAATCATGTCAGGGCCTGGTGCAGCGCAGTTATTCATACTTGAGATTCTCTCTTGGATATCTGCCACCGTGATCTAAACAGATTCTTGTTTGGACAGAATGCGGCAGTTGACTCCCGGATTATTTATCCTAGTCCAAAGATGGTATTCTCATGTTACTACCCAAACAGTTTGGATGGTTAGGTGGAAAAAAATCCTTAATTATATACTGGCTCCTACTCTGAGGTTGGGCCTTATATGTTGGTATATGTTAGATATCTTTCAGCAAACCTTTCTGTTCCCTCTTCTCTTTTTATGGGGACTACTGTTTTTATCCCTTTGCTCATCTTATATCTAAGCATCACCTTCATTAGCTCTCACAATGTGGGTGTGGATTTATATTGTAAGGACAGAAATACTCACAAATCTTCAGAAAGTATTTCATTTTCCTGCCTTACTGCTTTGCCTATGTGTCCATCTTGACCTTTTGTCATTGTTCTCCTTTTATTGAAGTATTTTCAATGCATGTCATTAATCTTTACCTGCGATGGCACATTCTATTTACACGCCTCTTTACATTTGTCAGCTTCATGACTCTTAAGCACAGAAAAATAAAAATTAGCAAAACACACGGTCTTTCTTCACATCCTTTGAACTTTTAAACATTTCCTAAGGTTCTAAACACAGTCTCCAATCTATTTCATTGGGATTTGATGGAATAAACTACCATAAATAAGTGCATGCGTGTGAAATTGGGAAGAAAGCGGTGCCTACATTTAGCCCATTTATACAAAGGATTTGTAAAAAGTGTGAAAGAGAAGCCCATAAATACCCTTACATGTAATCCCAAATAGATCAGATAGCAACCTGTCAGCAGTCTATTCTTAGTTGAAATCCAGCTGTTTAGTGAAGGTTTTAGGGGTTAAATGGAAAACCTTGGTGATGAAACGTCATCCGGAAGACAAGAGAATAACTCGGGCAGAGCAGGTATAAAGTTTGATATAAGTTAAGTGCACTGTTGTGGTTATAAAACAGCTCACATTTCACAAACCAATCTTCAATCTGAAAAAATGAAAAGAACTACAAATCTAAGAAGACAAAGAAATCAGTCTAAAATGACAGTCCAGGAAAATATTTCTCAGAAAAGTATCTTAATGTCAGCTATAAGTCTGTATGACCTAAATAGACCCACAGCTCAGGTGTGGGAACCTGTTGACAGGTTGATTATTAGTAATAAAGTGAAAAAAATCCAACTTCTATGGGAGAGTGGCAAAAAGAAAGCCATTAGAAGTCCCATTTCTGCCAGAAGCCACATCTGGGACAGCTGACATGCCGTGGAATGTTTCCTGACCCCAATACCAGAACAGAACTTTCTGTCCAGAGTTAAAAACACAAAGTGTAGTGGCAATCTAATGTCTTCATTAGTCTGTGCCCCTGCTTGATGCAACATAACCATTCCAGACAAATAGTGGAATGACTCACTTTGAAACAAATGCAACCATTCCTAAATTCAATTCAGAAGACTTAAAAACTGATTTGCACAGAAGTTCTGAAGAATGGGCAAAAAAGTATCACTGTCTAGGTGTGCAGAGGAGGAAGACGTAATGAGCATTTGAATCTATCACAAAGGGTTGTTCTACAAAGGAAAAGCTGTCTAAATACAAAAGCAGAAAAAAACACTTCCCCTATTTGAAAACTACTCTTAAATCACACATTTATTCCAAATTACAAACGCTTGTTACCCAGTCTCAATGAATCACATAAAATATCACTAAATTATACTGGAAATTATGGTTTTAGCATTTAAAAACAAATGTAAGGGGTATTACTGTCCAAGCTTACATCCATCATGGATAACATTTTCCAACCTCTGCACCAGAGTGAAGAGGAGCTGAGCAGCTCCTTTAGTGAAAGACTTTTACACGCTGTTTGTAAAAAGGAGCGCTACTGCAGGTCGTTCAACCCTGCTGCAACCAGACTCTACAATATGACACTACAACACTAATAACTTGTACCTTTTTCTTGTTATATGGAATGCAAAACACTAAAGAAAATTTTTTGCCTTTTAATTATTGATTTTGGTCTTTTTGGGATGGTTTTTACAAACAGTCTTTTCATAGGAGTTTGCCATAATAGAAAAAATAAGCCAAAGACTTGACTTTTGAATTTTTTAATAAGTGAAGCAAAGATGGCCATTTACTTGTCCCGCAGAGACAGACTGCAGGAGGGACCTCACCTTGATGCTGTGGCTCTGTGGAGTGCAAAGTTAAAGCCAGAATAAGGCTGGAGTTTCACTTCCGAGCCACACAGAACATCGAAGATTTTATTCAGTTGTGGGGTTCTAACAAAATTTCATGTACTGTGTCAGATGAAGGACACTACAATTTAACAAGCTCCTCATTTAATGATTTTTAGCAAATACTTGTTTTTACCTTAATTTGTTTTACATCAATATTTGATTCTATTGTTTGAATTGTGTAAATAAAGTGTTTTTAAAATCCATTTTTCTTCCTTTGGCACATTCTTTTTCTTTCACTATTTGAGCTGATGTAACGAGTAAATTTCTCCGCTGTGAGATCAATAAAGTCAATCAATCAACAAATAAATCTTTTGGGGAAGAAATACGCATACTATGGTAAAGAATATGACAAATAGAGTGGAAATTTTGGAGAGTATAACCTTGAATGGCCAAGGCTGGACGCAGGGCTCACTGAGTGAGAGAAAACTCTGGGTGAGGAATACGGAGAGACGGAGGTTCCTGCAGTTTGTATCTGTCCCGACAAAGAAAACGCTTTTCTTTTTGGCTCTGAAGGGGACCTGCAAGAAAACATTGGGAAGACATGAACTCAATTGTATCAAATGTGGGATCCTTCTTATTCCAGCTCTCATGATTGAACATTTTAAAATAAAGAGCTTTAGCAACCCTAAGGTTAAGATATTAAGTGAACAATTGAATGTTTGTGAAAGGACCAACAAAATAAATCAAGACATTAATTAGAGTGAAAGCTGAAATACGTCAATCATTACAGATTTCAGAACACACACGGCAGCTACAGTGTGCTTGTCTACTTTGACAGCTGAAATGAGAAACGCTCCAGAAATCTCCCGCTCTGTGACGCTTGCTCTCAGGACAAAATGGTAACACCTGCTGTTAAATCTACCTGGATCTTGAATGGCCCCTGGGCAAGCTCGACTGGCTGCTGTGATGATAACGATCTCTCTCCTCACGTCTCTTTTCAGGCGATGCTGCCCTCCTGTCTCTCCTCCCAGGGGAACGCGAGCGGGATCTGGCCACACGAAGGGACAAAGGAAATATAAAAGCGGGTAGGAGCCGACACATTAAAAGAGAAAAGAGGCACTGATCCATTTACACTGAAGAAAAGGATAAATAAAAACAGCCACAGTTTAAATGGCAAGAACAGAAAAAAATTAATTAGCTCATGACTTTTAAAGGGTAAAAAAATCTACTTTTTAACAGGGAATATTTTGAAACAGCCCACTGTTTAAACTGAGGATTAGAATTTATTTTAAGTGCTTTAATAAAAATATCTGGTGAATGAAATATTGACATGTAGATGAAACATACTACAAGCAATTGTGAAAAAACTAATAGATAGTCTTAAAGATGAATTACCCTTTTCTTTTGGTGGGTTCCTTGTTTTTTTTTTTTTGTTGCTGTTGTTTTTTGTTTTTGCACAAAGGGCAGAGCTAATTTCATTTTGTCCGCTGGCTACAATGTAAAGCTTTTGCATGCCATTTCTTCTCATCTGTTTTGCAAGCATTAATCAGTAAAAGAAACAAGGAAGGAAATTGTAATCCTTCAAACAGCAGAGCCGAAAACAAACAACCAGAACGCGACACAAACAAGGAGAATATGGTCCTGTGATACAAGACATGAAAAGACTTCAGATCCTGTTTAGGTCAGGGTTTTTTATAAATAATTTACAGTGAAATGAGAAATTAAAAACATCAAAAGCCGTACCAAACTAAATGATTGGACTAAAATCCTTCTTAATAGACAGTTTTGCTGAGAATCAGCCATATATTTTTCATTTTAATGGATAGCATTGCATTTTTTTGCAGAATCAAAGTCATGGCATAGGAGAGAGTCCAAATATTAAAATGGATATAACAATCTAATCTCATAAAAAAAAAAAAACTGTGTGTATGATAAATACTACAAGTGAACATTGGGGGGAAAATGGCACGGAATAATTGCACACCTACATCTCCAGGCAACACTCCTCTTAACTTTTTGCAGCTCACTAGAAAATGTGGATTTGCCTTCTGTACTACCAAAAAACCATGCATAGAAATGTGTCCTCTTATAGATGTTTATGTGGGAAGAGCTAAGTTTTACTTGGAAAACGAGCTCCAAACCATCTAGGAAAAAAAATCTTCATATTTGTTGCTTCATAAAAGGAGAGGATAGTATGGATCTCTAAATGTGTATTGTAAATATGCAAACCAAAGCATATAAAAACTAAAACTCTTAAGAGGGGTATCTGTGCAGTTTTAATTCTTTGGAAAGCAGGCTTATAATGTAGAAGAATAGTCGGTGAGTAAGAGCTGCAAAAGGTAAAGGAAGTAGTCGTAACAGCTGTTATAAATGCAATATTAATCTTACAAAACAACAAACGATCTAAAGCCCCTCAATGACCACTTCAATGGTCATTAAAGATTATTTCTAACTGCTTAATCAAAATCAATGACAATTATATTAATCAACCTAGTTAACCAGAGTGAGAGTAAAAGGTTAAACCCTTCATGTTTGCCAAGAGGGCATAAAACACCAGATGCCCCTTCATCCGTGTGGCTGCGACAATGTGATGTCATACGCTCCACAATTTAAAAGCTACTACCTAACAATTTTATTTTGCTTTAAGAGATGAAGAAAATAAAGTACCGTATTTTCACGACCATAAGGCGCACCGTACTAAAAGGCGCAGTCTCAGTTATGTGTGCCATTTCTGTATTTAACACACACATAAGGCGCACCGGACTATAGGGCGCGTTTTTTATATACAGGTACATGTCCTCTACTACCTTTAAATAGCTCTACTGCATATTTAAAAATACAGCGGGGGCAAAACTGAGTATGACTGTGCTTTATTCATGTATTTATTACAAAGTATTAATCAAACCTGCGAGCTGGCCGTGAGACAGACACATCGCAGATGACACAGCGCTGTGATTACTCCTAAATTAACTTAAAATCCTGAAACCTGCCGACGGAATATGTTCGCTTTTATTGCCGGTATCCTGGTGCCTGCAGTTTAAATTATTTAGATGAAAAACACCTGCCAGCAGCCGCGGTGAACCTGGAGGCTGCCCAGCCTAGAGGCTGCTGTTGAAGGGATTTACTGTCGGTGCACCGCTGGTATGTGGGAGTCTGAGCGCCTCCGACAGAAATAGATAATCTGGATGAACTGACTGCAATTAAGATTTCAGGTGGCCTTTCTCACTTAAAAACATATTAAAACTACTTTATTCCCACTGATCACAGCAAATATAGCTGCAAGATTTAGATTATTTAGATGAAAAAACACCTGCCAGCCACCGCGGTGAAGAGGAGGAGACCCGCCCAGAGGCTGCTGTTGAATTAAGTTTTCAGGTAGAAAAATAGAGCGGGAGCAAAACTGAGTATGTTTGTGCTTTATTCATGTAGTTATTACAAAGTATTAATCAAACCCATCAAAGTCATCATCCTCTGTTTCTGAATTAAACAGCTGCGCTAAATCAGACATGCCAATTTCCCCTTCTTTGCTGTCAGAGTCACTTTCCGTGCAGCGCGGCTCCTCAGAAATAATGCCGGCTTTTGCGAAAGCTTGAACAACAGAGCAAGCAGACACGTTAGTCCAAGCATCTACAATCCATCCGCAAACGGTGGCGTAACTTGCCCGGCGCTGCCTTCCACTTATCCTGAAACTGTGGTCTCCGTCTGTCTTCACACTGATGTCGAGCGGTGGAAATTCCTTTGTCATACCCCCGGGATAACGGCGAGCACAGCGTTCATTTGATTCACCTTTTTTTTTCACATCGGCTGTGAGATGGGCACGCAGCGATGGTGATGCGTGGAAAAAAGCACCTGGTCTCCTCACATACACCTGCCTTTCATCATCTCCTCATCCATCCAGCCTTTTTCATTTGCGTTAATGTCATCAGAGCGCTGTGTCTGTCTCGCTGTCAGCTCCCAGATCAGCTTCTCTGATTGGTTGATGCGGCGCGTCCAGCAGCAAAACTTCAATTTTTCCATCTCGAGCAGCAGCGCGTTGGCGGTGCGTCAGATACTTAAACGCCCCCGAGGCGCTGCGCCTGCTGCTCAAAACGCGCTGCGGGACCTTTTGCTGCACCTATACACGCATCAACAATTGACTTTGCATGTAAACTCGCTGCACCTGCTGGGTCCGGTTCACACCGATGTCGAGCGGTTGAACAGCGAGCACAGCGTTAATTTGTTTCCCCATGTTTTTCACATCAGCTGTGAGATGGGCACGCATGGAGTTACATATTAACAGCGATGGTGATGAGTGGAAAAAAAACACCTGGTCTCCTTACATTCAGCCACTCTTTCATCATCTCCTCAATGAGGTGGTCTCAAAAGTCGCAGTTACAACACACATAGGGCGCACCGCACCATAGGGCGCACCGCACATTTTGAGGGAAAAAAAAGACGTTTAAGTGCGCCTTATAGTCGTGAAAATACGGTAATACTGGGATAAATATGATTTTGTCTGTTTGCTTATCCTTTGTTACACTAAAACATGCTTCAAAAACACCCCAAAAAACACCAACACTGTAAAGAAAAAACTACTAGAACTAATATTCTGTTACAATGGCGGTAACTGGCACTGAGATATTTTGATGTACTTTAAAGAAAAAAACAGCACTGAACATGTGCATTGCTGCATCTCCAGTTTCTTACCGAGACCTGCGGCCCCTTTTGTAGGAACTAGGAAGTGAGTGTCCGCTCTTTGACCTTGAGCTTGATCGTGACCTTCTTCTGTGCTTTTTCTTCTTTTTCTCTTTGTCCCTCCCTTTTTCCCGATCCTTGTCTCTTGCTCGTTCTCTTTCTCGATCTCTGTCCCGATCTCGGTTTCTGTGTCTCTCTGTGCTTTTGCCCGAAGAGTATAATGATGATGATGATGAGCTTGTTTGGAGCTCCCTTATTTTGTTCCCTCCCTGGATCTCCAGAGGTGCTCTTTGATCCTTAGCTATCACAGGTGGTGTATTGTACACTTGAGGAGATGAAGAACCAGACAGGACAGAGTAGGCTTCCTGCAGCTAAAGAGAAAGCAGAAAACCAAAATAATTTAATCAAAAGCATATTTTACAATTTAACAATTACAAACTTAAGGAGAAATTATACCGTAGGTTATTGATTGGATTAAAGACTCAGTCATCTATATTGACGCCAGCAGCACTGAATTTCCAAAACATCCATGAAAAGCCAATGAGGCCTGTCTCTTCAGGAAATGCAGACCAGTGTGTGGAGATTGAGGATTTATTTATTCAATACCTCCATGTGTAGCCTTGTCATTGTTACATGCTAATGCAATACATGCTGAATACAGAATTTTAAATGGGGAGGGGGGTTGGAACTTTGAATTTATTTATTTATTGCCTCTGCAGAGAAAAAAGGAGGAGCTACATTTTCTAAGAATCGAATTCTGTCATTAAGATGATGGTACAGTAAATATTTTAAAAACTGAAGTCTCTAATTACTTAGAAACATATATGAACAATTATTTTTCTGCATAATTTCCTTTCAAATGATATAAATGCAAAGTGAGGTGAAGAGTCTAATATTCTTTAGAGTTAACTACTGTAAATAATGAACTGAAAGGGACAAAGGTTCCTAAATGCTGGATCGGAGAAAAGCAGACACTTTCAGGGAGTTATTATTCAGGCTCTCTCCTTTAAAGAATGAAGCATTACTCAGCTGTTGAAAAGACTGTTTGGGTTACACAACACAGCAAAGGCCCTCTGGGAATACCCAGAGTTACAACTGTCAGCTACAAATTGCAACTATTTACACAAATGTGAGTCTGTCTGCAAATTTCAGAGTCTTCTGCCTTGGATTAAGTTTAGGGGAACTGCTTGAAAATCATCATTGAAATATATATGTCGCTTTAAGTAGCAGATTGCTTCAGGGGCTGAGTTTTTAATGTGTGTGCATTACCATTCCAGGGGATACTGACAAACGCATCAGAATACAATTATATATAATAATGATGATAGAAACACTATAGAGATTTTTATGTGAAAATAATAAACAGCACAGTCCACATTGATTGGCAGATGGGTTTAAAATGTTATATAGATAATCTGTAATCTATAAAAGCCTTAACTTTTGATATTAGTCGTTTAAAGAAGGATGGCTAAGAAAAATGTAGAAAATAATACACATTTAAAACGTACATAATTCACAACATATAACTTATAGAAAATAAATACACAAGTAAATAGTATTAAAAATAGTACAATGTATATAGTCGTTTCAAAATACCACACCTTAGATCTAATCATGTTCCTACTAGGGATGGGACGATTTATGAAAACCGTCAGAATCGTTCGGTTCGACTGTCTCGGTTCGGTTCGCGTGTGTTTCGTTCGGTTCATGCGCTGCTCCTTTTTCTCATAGAGGAAGCGATTACACTCCAGAGCAGAAGGTGGCGGTACTGCGACCAAAGCCAACCGCCAGTAGTAAATAAGAAGAAGAAGAAGCGAAGCAGCTTAGCCGGGTGTAGCAGGGAAAAAAATCAGTTGTTGTGGAGAATTGTGTCGGACTGGCGAGTGGGAAAGAACTAGAGTTGGAAGACGCGCCAGCAGCACTTTATAGGTCTGCTGTATGGGAGCGCTTTGCATTTAGAGTAACAAAGTTGTGGATAAAAGTGCAACAGTGTGCAAGCATTGTGCAACAAGTTTTGTTTATGCTAACAGCAACATGTCATGCTAACCCCGAAATCCCTCATACTCCGTCAGCAACCCCCGCTGCGCTCCAGATCGGCTGCTCAAAGCAAAGCCTACAGCCCCCACTGTGGCTTCGCCTGCTCCCCTCTGAGTTCCTTGGAGATGGTAGAGAGCATGTAACCTGACAACAGCCAGATGCATGCGGAGCGAGACATGCATCTGGCTGTTGTCAGGTTAGAGAGCATGCGCCAGATGATTAAATTCAAAGCAGCAAAACATACGGAAATGGTTTTCGCGGATCATTTAAAATAATTACAATCCATTATTTTTGGGGGGATTTTTTCATTAATTTCATAATTTTTTATGGAATTTCGGTGTAACAATCAACATGTATCGAATCGCACCGAAAACCGTGACCAGAAACCGTGAATCGAACCGAACCGTGGATTTTGTGAACTGTTCCAACCCTAGTTCCTACATACATTAAGTATATTGATGTATCGTCTGACTTAAGTATGAAGTATTTATTACCCATTTGTAGATTTATATCAGATCAAATAAATAAAATGGTACATCTGCAGGAGTTTTTATTATTTTTATCTTGTTACAATGTTTCTATAATAAAAAAGCATCCTATAATTTCCTAAGTTTTTGCTTGTTGAGTAAAGTGAAATAATGAAATAGTCTATTTGTTTTTACAGCCAAATAGTCTAGATGAAGATTTGATCTTACTTTTTTGTTCTGTAAACTTATTTTGACCGTCATACAAAAGATACTACTGTTGCAAAACTTTAAAATTAAAGAGATTAAGTGCAGCTTAAAAAAACGAAGATGAGTTAAAACAATAAATTTCCCTTTGGGATTGATATAGTATTTTTGATTGGAGAAAGCCATTCCCTTTAGTCTCCCTTTACAGAAACCAGAAACCACTGGAATACCTCAGCTACAAATAACCAACTGGCATGAAGATACTGTCACATGGTTGATATATTTCCAATTTCTAACAGTAAGCTTAAGAGGTGTCCCGACGCAATTTTTTGCTTTTCTGATACGATACTGATATTACTGCTTTGAGAAATGGCCGATACCAATATTAACCTGATACGATATTAGGACGAATCATACCTAAATATGACTAAACTGGAAAGTAAAAGGTATGAAAACAACTGACCAATGTAAAACTAACCAAGTTATACATTTATCAACTTAAAGGAATGGCTATAGTAATATTTGTGATGTTATATATTCCAGGAAAACTAATTAAACTAATGGGAAGCCAAGGAATCGAAATAATACATCAAAAAATTGAGGAATTTAGGCAAAAATGACCATTTTTGAATACATGAGCTGTTGTTGTAGCATTAACCCAACTGAATAAATAACACATCTTCTTCTGGCTATCTCAATAACTTTACTTGGTCTGAGATTATAGAACTTAAAAAAAGATGAATGTACTCTTAAGTGTTTCACACATCTTTACCAGGAGTGCAGAGAAGCATTAGAAAATGCAGCCATGTTTAAAAAAATTAAAATAGAGTGGATAGGTCTCCAATTCAGCAACCTTTTACCCAACTACTTCAATTCCTAAGAAGTGAACAGAGCATATAGAGGAAAATTGGAGGGATGCTGATGATGAAAGACACTGAAAGGAAGAAAATGCTGTAAGAGAGCTGGCTGAAGAGCTTATAAGACAATATATATCTGAGTGGGAAAAGGAGGAACATTTACTTCACTACTCAATTGAAACATTATTTGGGTGTGTAACTTATTATACCACAATTACTGAATGGTAAAAACTGAGATCTGGTCTGAATAATGACTTGCATCTTGTAGTTGTATTGAAACACAAGGCTAAGAAAGCTTTTGCCCTTTAAAAGCTGCCTTCACTAGATACAAAAGATAAGATATAAGAGAAACAAAACAAAGGAACAGCCTCTGCAGACGGAATAAGACGATTCGCACACTTATTTTCTTCCAATAATAAAGACAGCGTCATGAACACTAATTACCTAAGTAGTAGGCAGTGGACAGCTTACTAATAAACAAGATGCTATTAAAAGGATTTACTCCTAATAAGTTGAGCTCCTACAGCACAATAAATAATACTTAGGATCACAATAGCAGAAAAAATGTAAAATCTTCCACAGACCGCCAATTACACAACTGAAGATCCTCTAACCATTTCTTATCAAATAAACTTAAGAAAGAAAAGTTCAAGAATATGACAAGATTTTCACGCTTTTAATTACTATATCTGACAGTCAGATTGCTCAAAGCAGCATTAAAAGTATCCTTTAAAAAAAAAAGGGAAAAAAAACTGCTTGTAGCAGCAAAGCCTATCCAGAGGGTTTGGTTTCCTCATGACAGCTTACACTAGCTACTACAATAATGCTGCATATTCAACAATAAACAATGTAGGAAACATGCAGAGCATACATCAGCGGATCCAAGACAGCTAATTCAACAGACTCTGCAAACACATGGCAAAAGCATCTGTCCCTTAGACTCAGAATCCTCTTCATGTTAAACCACTGCACAATCCATGCCTTCCAAAGACAGCATTACCATTTAGATTTTGATTTCTATGCCTGAAAGGAGAAGCTTTGGTCCGCTTTAAACATCTGAGTTCAGCCAGGACCTGCTCGGAAAAGCACTTCACAAATGAACAAATCAATTCCAGGCACTGCGGTTTTATCCATTTGAGTTCACCTTCGATTTTGAACAGGTCTTCTAATTAGGGGGGTCTTGTAAATTTTAATGCACCTGCAGAAACATACGCAGAGTTAAAATGATTTCCCAATATTCAGGTTCAATGTCTTTTTTAACAATACTGTAAAGATTAATATACTTAAGCCTTTACATGCAAGACAGATTAAAAGCTGTTCAGAGTTCATAGAGATTGCTGACACCAAATACAGAACAGTCCTGGATAAAAAACCTGTTGGAAGCCAAGAAACTGGGGACTCAGCTGTAGGTTTGACCTGAAGCAGGACAATGAAACCAAACACACAACAACAGCTAGAATAAAACTGCATGGAAAACGGCACGTAAAAAAATACAGCCCAGCCAAAGAAGAGACCTAAAACCGGCCTGACACGACTTAAAAATTGGTATTCAAAGACAATTCCCACTGAATTTACTATGCTTAAGTTACTATGTAATGACATAACTCAAAAGACATGCAGTTGTGTCCACAAAGAAATTTGTTTTTTGCAAGATTGTTCTTCAAGGGAGCTGAATGAAAAAAAAAGGAAAACTTTGTGTTACCAAACTATAACTTAATATAATACAGAAAAAACTGTGGCTGCTAAGTGATAAAAATGCACAGAAGTTGTATCTGTATCTATGTTAGTAGTGTATGTAAGTACTGT